GCTGGGACTACAGGTGTGTGCCACCATGCCTGGCTAGTGTGTGTGTGTGTGTGTGTGTGTATGTATTTTTCATAGAGACAGGGTTTCACCATGTTGCCTAGGCTGGTCTTGAACTCCTAAGCTCAAGTGATCCACCTGCCTTGGCCTCCCAAAGTGCTAGGATTACAGGCATGAGCCACTGCACCCAGCCACTGGCTTCATTTTTACTTTGATTATTGCAATAACCTCCTGTGGTTTCCAAGAATTTTCTTCTCCTTCCCCACCCCACTGATACTAGGCTTACCCACATGTCTTGCTTTGGTCAGTGAAATGTGATGGAAACGATGTTTGTCACTTCCAGGCAGAAGAAGTTCAGAAGCAGCATGTGATTCACTGTGATCTCTTTTGTCTCTTCCATGAGACCCTCAATGGCTCCAGATGGGGCTGCTTCATCCACCTGGGTCCTAGAGTGAAGATAATGTGCAACAGACCTGCAAAACCTGGAGCATTGTTCCTGTGACATTACTCAGCCCTTCCCGATGAACACACTTACCCACTTGACTGTCTACTTCCACGTCACCGCCCTCCCCAACATCCACCCAGTAAATTCTCCACATAGTAGTCAGAGGGATATTTTGCAAGGGTAAATTAGATCATGTCATTTCCCCACTCCAAGTCCTCCAAAGACTTCCACTTAACTTAGAATAAGATCCAGTTTTCTCATCTTGTCTATAAACCCCTTTATGGCTGAGTTCTAGCTCACCACATTGACCACATCTCTTGTTCCCTTCCTCTCGCTCTTTTCTGACACTGAGAAGTCCACACTGGCTTTCTCTCTGTTTCTTGAATGCGCCAACCTCATTCCAACATCAGGGATCTTGAATTTCCTGAACCCTCTGACTGGGATGTTTGTCCTCCAGATATTTGTATGGCTGACTCCCTCACTTCCAACAGACCGCTGCTCAAATATTGCCCATCTGAGAAGATTCCCTGCATACCTGGTTTAAAATAGTCCATTCCCTCTTCCCATCTGGCTACCTGCTATCTCCTTCCTCTGCTTTATTTTTACTTCATAGCACCTATCACTACCAATTAATATATTTTACAATTATTTTTTGATTTGTTGTTTGTCTTTCCTTCTAGAATGTAAATTTCACAAGGACAGGAAGTTTTTCTTACTCCCTATTAAAATTCACAGAACTTACGACACTGCCAGGTACATGGTAAACTTCAAAAACGTGTATTTGTTTTGAATGAATGAATAAATAAACGAAGCCTGAGATTTTAGCACTTACTGTCTGCATGAATGTGGGCAAATTATTTCAATTTTTGAGTTCAGTTTCCTCATCTATAAAATGGAGACAGCAGTCCTTGAATTTTCTACTTTATAGGGTTATTGTGAGGACCAAATCAGATTGTAAGTATGCCTTCCAAACAACAAAGAACTATGGAAATATTACATAGGATTATTAATACATTATCTTATTTCAGATACCAGGCAAATTTTTTGCCAAACTCTTAGAGAGAAGACTATGTCTCTGGTGGCCTTTACCTCTTTTTTCTATTACCATTTCCCCAAAATGTGGTATATGCTTTTCTCCTCTTGAATCCAGGCACTTCCTTTTATTTGTAGAATAGGAAGAGTAATACAAACCTGGGTCATCTCCAAATCTGCCAGAGCTGACCTTGGAGAAGTTCCTTAACCTTCTGAGGCTCAGATTCTTTGTCCATTAAATAGTGATTATGAAGAACTGATTTCATAAAGCTATTATGAGTCTGTAATGAGTTATGCATATGAAGAACTTTGAAGATTGAGTGGGATATAGTCATTTTTTAATAAGTGTTAGTTATTGTTATTCACTTAACTATTGACTGCCTGTACAAATGTTACTTCATACATTTTTGTATGTGAATCAGATGAGGGAAGGTATGCCCATTACTTAGAATGGTGCCCGAAGCCTCATAGGTGCTTAATAAATAGTAGCCATTATAAGTAGTAGTGGTGGTGGTGGTAGCAGTAGTTCAGAGCAGTTATGAATTTCAACAAAAAAATTCTTTTAATGGTCCATGGTCTCTTGATATAATTTTGTTCTTCTCCTTTTCCAGCATTGTGGTGCTAATTAGGAGACTTTTATATAAACCTCTTCCCTAACCATTTCAGCAAGTCACAGTTCATTACACCCAAAAGCATCAGTCCAAATGCTAACATAGTAAATCCCATGGCTATAGGCCCTACCCCACCCCACCCCTGAAAAAGAGATCAATGATCCATGGGTGTTGGCTGCAATGTAAAAGTCAAAACCTGACTGCAGTTAAGTTTGTAGGGGCCGTGGCACTGTTACCTGCCTAGGAATTGATGACCTACCGTTTTCAAGTTCTCCTATAAATATGAACTGGGTTCTTGGCATAGAGTCTCCACAAACTCACTAGTGCACTACTTCCTAAATACAGATATCCCTCATTCTCTTTCTCTAAGTATTAAATGGAATCCAAACTTTGGTCAAGCTTTCAAAAGACATCCTTCTCACTAATTCTTCCCAAGGATCTCTGCTTTAATCTAAGAGAACGATAGGCAGCCATGCCAACTTCCTACATCTATTATCAATTCTGAAAATGCTGTTCCAATTTCCTTTCAGCCACATGCTAAAACATCTTCTCACCCTCACTATAAAATCGTTCAATGCTATAAGAAGATATTATAGACTTCCATGTAAAAGTGGTAGATGGAACATAAACATTACTTCTGCTCCCTCCCAGAAATTCCAATAAATATTACAGCAAAGAAAAAAATTTTTTTTTTGAGATGGAGTCTCACTCTGTCACCCAGGTTGGAGGGCAATGGCCTGAGCTCGGCTCACTGCAAGCTCCATCTCTTGGGTTCAAGCGATTCTCCCACCTCAGCTTCCCAAGTAGCTGAGATTACAGGCACCCGCCATCATGCCCAGCTAATTTTTATATTTTTAGTAGAGACGGGGTTTCACTATGTTGACCAGGCTGTTCTCAAACTCCTGACCTCAGGTGATGTACCCGCCTTGGCCTCCCAAAGTGGTGGGATTACAGGCATGAGCTACTGCGCCCGGCTGGAAAATTTTTTTAAAGCATTAAATCTCAGTGAAAAAGATAACCAGAAAGAACATAAAAGAGTAAAATCTGGAGCTCTAGGAAGCAGATGAACCAGTGATAACTCACTTAGCAGACCTGAGAAAGCTGAACCCCAAGCTGACAATGAGAATAAGCCCGATTTTCACTGCAGAATCCCAGGGTACCACTGGACATGGGTGGGAAGTTGAGTCTGTTGACACGATGACTGGCGGGAAGCATGTTTAAGAAGGGGATAGACCCTCCCCAGGCCCCTCTTCCTGCCCCTTCCCCAACCCAGACAATTGGAGACTTAATTCTTGGAAACAATAAAGCATAGTGGAGCATATATGTCATCGTTGAGGACAGTGCACTGAACACAGGAAGATTAAGTGAGAGGTAACACACTGAATATGAGGACCTTAGTTCTCAGAGCATGAGAAGCCAGACTTAACACTGCTTGTCGGAGACTGAAGCACACCTCTCTGGGAAGTCTATATACTCCAAGAAAAGATATAGCAGTGCCAACAACAGAATTCCCCCAGAGAAGCAGATTGGCCAAATTACCTTGCAAGTAGTGAGTTCAGAGTTAACAAGTTCCACCCCCACACACTGAGTTTCTAATTTGCTTTTAAGTGTCTCATTTCAAAATGTGAGCCTTAGTCAATGATCACCAAAACTCTGAGGAAATTCCCTAACTTGAAAAATACAGGTGGCCCTTTAACAACATGGGGTTAGGGGTACCAACCCCCAAGCAGTTGAAAATCTACATATAACTTGACTCTCCAAAAACTTAACTGCCAATAGCTTACTCTTGACTGGAAGACTTACCAATAACATAAAACAATCACTAAACACTTTTTATGATATATGTATTATATATTGTATTCTTACAATAAAGTAAGCTAGAGAAAAGAAAATGTTATGAAGAAAATCATAAGGAAGAAAAATTATATGTATTATTTATTGAGTGGAAGTGGATCATCACAAAGGTCCTTACCTTAGTCATCTTCACATTGAATAGGCTAAGGAAAAGAAGCAAGAGAAAGGGTTGACCTTGCTGTCTCAGGGGTGGCAGAAGCAGAAGATAATCCATATATTAGCAGACTCAGGCAGTTCCAGCTCATGTTTTTCAAGGGTCAACTGTAAAGGTCAAAATATTAGGAGGGGGAAAAAAGCAAATTATAGAAAACTCTGCAGGAAAATAAAAACTTCAAAAGGAAACTATCATTAGCATCCCCAGACAAATAGGAGAAGTTATTGTAATTTATTAAATAAAAACAATGTTCTAGCAAAAGGAAAACAATTGTAAAACAAGAGAGGAATTATAAATTCAAATTTGACAGTCAGAATGAAAATTTCAGTCAAAGAGTTAAAAGATAAATTTAGGGAAATCTCTTACAAAGTAGAATGAAAAATCAAAGAGATGGAAGATATGATACAAAAGATAAGAAATATAGAAAATCATTCTAGGAGTTCATCAACTGAGTAACTAAAATTTCAGAAAAAGAACTTGAAAAATAGAAGAAAAAAGACAAAAGAAATAATCCAAGAAATTTCTCAGTACTGAAGGGCATGAGTTTCTAGACTTAAAAGTTACAGTAAATATTCAGTACAATAGATAAAAATAAATTCACACTAAGTTCCATCATCTTAAACTTTCAGAACAATAGACATAAAAGAGGGAGTTTCAAAACTTTTCAGAAAAAGGTAAAAATGATTGCTCAAAATACCAAAATGGCTGTGGATTTCTCAACAGCCCCACTAGAAGCAAAAAGATAATGTAACAATGACTTTAGAATTCTGTAGAAAAAATTATTTCTAGCCTAGAATTCTATACCTATCAAAGTTAACAATTAATATTTGGGTAGGATACAAACATTTCAGACGTAAGTCTCAAAACAATTACCTGCCGTGAGCCCATTCTCAGGAAGCTACTGGAGATCCTTTTGTAGTTTATAAGCGTGATGACTGGGTGTTCATGTCTGTGTGTGAGATGTGCCTACCTCAAACCTTGTTGTGATGTTGGCACACTTCCCATCTGATGTGAAAAAGGAAAAAAAAAGAAGAAGAAGAAGAAGCTACTAGGTAAGTCCAAAATTAGGAGGCAAAGGAAGAAAGAGGAAGACATGGAGTCTGGAAAATGAGAACATCAATCCAAGAAAGAACAAAGGAAATCCCAGAGATAAAGGCGAAGGGAGATCCAAATACAGCCATGTACTCAGCCTAGAAATAAACTAGTCTAGGTTGGAGCAGCTCAGCAGGGCGCAGGAAAGATGGTCAAAAGATGGCTTTGTTAGAATACCTGGTGTGAGTGAGTATATTGAGAGGAAATGTCAACAACCGAGGAGAAAGTTTGGAGTGAATTAGTGATAGAAAACAAAACAAAGGAAGAAAAAACAATAGAGCTATTAACTCCAGGAAAACCTAAAGATTGTGCACGAAAATAAAAGTAAGCACATTTCAGCTGTGAAGAGTATTTATAGGGACAGGAAAGTATACACACTGAATATTAACCTAAGCAAAATTATGAAATAACAGTAGTGGGATAATGGCAGCATGGGGGTCCAGGGGTTCAGGAACTGTACATGACGGGGCGTGGTAGAAGTGGTAAAGAGGGCTAAAATAGTGGGAGGCTAACAGTTAATGCTTAAGGCATTAGGCAAAAAAGCAGGAGCACTATAAGCATATACCAGTGACATGGAGGCAAAACCAAAAGCAAGAGTTGAATGTGTTGATTCTAGGAAGCAGGAAATGATGGATCAAGAGAAGAGTCTATTGTTTTTCTTTATGCCTTCTAAAATTATTTGACCCTGAAAATTATGTATGTGTATAATCAAAATTAAAACTAAATTTTAAAATAATCATGCATCAACAGTAAATTAGAAGGATGATTTTAATTTGGCTTCTCTTTTATATGTGCACACATAGACGCACAGTGCCATTTGGGCAATACATTTTGCAAAGCATCTAAATGCATGAAAATATTCCAGAGAAGTGTTAATGATGGCCTGGGCCAATCTGTCTTTTGTAAATAATTTCTCAGGCAAGTATACTAATTAGAGCTAAGATAGGCAAATGATACAACAAGCCACCAGTCAAGAGCATTTGCTGCTCATCTATTGAATATATAGCAATAAATATTCAACATTCTGTGGGGTAAACAATCGAGTGTAAGATATGGTTTCCAGCATTATGGATTTTATGATTCAATTAAAGACATGAAACATAAACTTTTGTAAAGTTAAATGACAGTACAAAAGTATAAATAAGGTTTATTTAAAAATTAAAAGATGTTGCAAGATAATACATGACTTTTGCTAACTCAATGCCACAAACTACAGAAGTGTTACTGTTTAGAACAAAGAAAAGTCAGGATGCAGGGAATGGATCTCAGAGAAAAGAGATTAGAAATAGGTCTTGAAAAAATGGGCTGGGTTTGAATGAATGGAGGAATGGGGGAATTCCAAATGCGGATCCTGGAAAGGAAGATGTCGTCTTAGTACTGTGAAGAGATTACAGGTTTCAGAGCCTAGGCATTTGAGTGAGAGCCTGCTCACCAGAATGGGATGGCAATTAGCCTTTGGCCTGAGGAAAGCAACTGGTTCAGAGTAAAGTATTTCTATTACCCACAGTGAGGCCAAGAATCCAGTCAGATGTCCTGTTGGGATGTGTATCCGTCATTTTATGAGCTCAAAAAACCCCAGGAATAGCTTCGAATCCATGTTACAAGTCCGAGTTCCCTGGAAACAGCAATGACCTCTTAGCAAAATCATTAATTAGGGCACTGCCTTGATTCCATTGTGAATAATAAAAATATGTGCACAGACTTCTGTACTTTGATGAAAGCATCAGGGTGTGATTTATGGGGGAAGATGCTCTCCGGGGAACATAAATATGTACGCCTTACATACTTATAAAGTTCAAATACATTACCTCTTCAATGGCTTTCAAAACTAAAGTCACCTCAGTTCAGTCAAATAAATAGGACAGACATGTAAATTAGCAAAAGATGTGCTCAGACATTTATGCAAGGCTTAGATCCCACGATGAACACTGTCTAGATCAGTGGGAAGTCAGAAGCATTCTATCCTATACGTAGCTATCGCCAGACAAATCTAAACACTTGGTAGGCACTCAAAAAAATCTGACTGATTTTAAGTAATTAAAGGGGATCTGGTGGGCAGACACAAAAAGACAGAAGTCTCATCGTGAGGCAAGGCTGCTACCAGAGTCTTTCTAGCCAGTTCCAGAAGAGCAGGTGGTTATATCCACCAGTGCCCAGAAGAGGGCAGCCAAGAGCTGCTCAGATGGAACCTTCCTGGGAAGGACACTCACTTGGCACCAGGGTAAACTGTCCTTTCCCTGGACAGAGAACAGAATCAGCCCAGAACTGATTGGTGAAGAAGTTTGAGGAGAAAAAAAGCAGGGGTGGGAAACATGGACTAAAGGTGTTCAAGACAGATGAAGAACCAGACCAAGAAGAATCATGGAGAATCCAGAGAATGGAAAAGAAAGACAGCAGCCAGGGGTCAAAGGAACAAGGCACAGGAGTGGAGCAGCCCTGACCTTGCCACTCCCCTGCTCAAAAGATTTCAACGGCTCCCTACTGTCCATGGCACAAACTTCTTAGCCTGACATTCAGGGCCATACTATAACCCTAACCCACCTTAAGAATCTTGGGATTTGCTAGGTTTTTAATCATACACTCAAGATTCCAAGCACACCGAAGTCTTTCTTGTGACTTTCTTCCTCTGTGTCTTTGTTCCCCCTGTCCCTTCACTCACTGCTCTAAACAATGAGTGGCCACTACATGCTAGTAGTGGGAGGAAGGGATACAGGATCAACCAGAAGAAATGGCCGCCTTCAAAGCTGCCAGGAAGACACAGTGCCATGTACTACCATGAGGGAAGCAAGAGTGGATGGTGTGGAGAGAGAAGTGGCTAAGTCAGGCTGTCTGAAAAGGCTTCTTGGAGGAGGTGACCATCCCCCTGAAATCACCTTGCCTTTCCTCTCCACTCATCTAAACCGTCGGCGCCTGCTGAAGGACCATCTGTTGTTTTCATCTGCCTGCCTGCCTTTTCCCACTCCTGGTAAAATACTCCATCTCCTCCTTTAGGAAACGGCTCCCTACTCCATCTGCCAGGTAGGCTGATCTGGTAATGTGGTTGATCATATTACCCCATCCTGTGATCCACAGCAGTTGGCTCAAGGAAGACCCTTCAAGACAGACTACACAGATGTCTTCCCTGGAGTTTTCCTCTGCATTTTGGAACCGAAGGAATAGCTAGCTTTCTCTTCCCCCTGGATTGGAAGCTGGCAGGGTAGATTCCAGAGCTGCTGGTGCCATGTCCCTTACCTCATGGAGGATTCTGAGAGAATAAACTGGAAAGAGACGGAGCGAACTGACACTATACAAATCCCAGAATCCAGTTGCCCTGAATTAGGACAAGGCCTCTGCTCCACTGAGCAGCAAAAGCCCAATTCCAGAGCTGAGCCAAAGGAGTTTGTTTTTTAGCGGGGTAGCAGGTGTTTAAAAGGCCAGTGGACAAGCTCTGCTGTTCTGGCTCCATGATGACATCAAAGACCATTTTGCTCTGCTATCCCCATTACATGACTCTCCTCGTGCTCCAAGATGACTGCTGCATCTCTGGGATTAGATCCACATTCCACACTGGAAGGGCAGAAATCATGTGCCCATTGAGTGTAGCCCTTCTCATCAGAAAAATAATATATTCCCAGAAAACCCAACCTGTGGCCTTCTGCTTATATCTCAATGTTCAGAAAAGTGTCACACGGCCACCCCTCACTGCAAGGAAGTCCGAAGAGCTGAGTATTTTTAACTGGGCATATTGAGACAACAGAGGAAATGCACATTGCGTAAGTAACTGGTGGTATCTGCTACAAGTCCTAAATGTCTTTGTTTGCCTGCATAAACCCATAAATTCTCCTTTTTGCTTAAGCTAGTTGGAGATGGGTGTTTGTAACTTTCAATCAAAAAGCCATGGCTAAGACACCTGCCAAATGCCACCACCACCATAGAGCTCCCTGATCCCACTACATCAGAATAATCCCGATGTCTTCAATTTCCAATGGTCCTTTTCCCACCAGCAACCTGAGGAAGGGAAATCACAGGGACAGGGCAACGGCACCTAGGCAGCCAAACCCCACCCCAGCAGCCAAAGCAGGCCGAAGAGCCCTGCCAGCAGGATTCCTGGAATCTAGCTCTCTTCTCTCTCTCTCGCTTCACCTGCGAAGGGCCACAAAAAAGCCGTTTCAAAGCCATCAGCACCATGAACCCAGCCACTGCTATTGACCCCATACCCTGAACCCAGCAATAAATACTATCCAGGGCTTGATGTTGGCAAGAAACAGGGAGACAGCAACAGCCCTGATTTACCACTAAAACACTTAAACATAACAGGATACGTCTACAGGATGAAGCACTAAAAAGGAATAAAAAGAGAATGAGGAAGCTCTGGATGCATTCATGTGAAACACTTCTAAAACTGTTACTAACAGGAAAAAAGCTAACTGCAAAACGGTGCCCATATATGTATGAGATATATAGATAGCATGTATACATATACATACAAAATGATCATTTGTGATAAAGGAAAGAAAAATAATATCAGCACCAATATTTGTACCTGCAGAAAATATTTCTAGAAGGATATACAATGCAAGAGACTGGTACTTTTGGCTGCCTCCAGGGTGAAGAGCAGGAAGGCTACAAATTAGGAGGGCAATGTTTCTCTGTACGCTCTTTAAACCTTTTGAATTTTGGACCCTAGGAGTGAACTACCTATTTGAAAAAGAATGAAAATACGTTTCTGTAAGTAAACACATTACAGTTTGTGCTGGTATGTCTGGTATGTTTTGTTTTGTTAAGGCAAAACAATAGGAAGGATGAAATTGGCAAACTGAGCTGGGAAGAGAAAAGGAAAACAGAAAAATTAGCACCCATTTAACAATAAAATAGAAATAGCGTTTTGCGTGAAGGGATGCTTTTCTCATATCTTGCTTGAAGCATTTACAGACATCAGC